TTTTGTTCCTGATTTATAGCATCCGCAGTTCTTTTGGTTTTTACCAAAAATATGTAATTGGCCTACCACCTTCTGTAAAGCAAAAAGGATTAATCGATGTTCTACTTTTGCACTCCCAAGAAAGTTAACTTGTCTTTTTATTTCCAATTTTTTGAAAAGCTGTATAGTGTTAAATTTCCTTTGAGAAGCTTATTCCTGGGGACAATCCATAAGTAATGGATCAAGAGCAATAATGCTGAGTCTCTGTCCACTTTTTATTGTCCTTAACGTACTTCTATTGTATATTGTGTTTCTTTTGAAAGAGTCAAGTACCCTTTCTTGCAATAGGCACTAGCCAGGGAAAACTATTTAAAGGATGTAAAATAATATCTCAGTTCCTCTGAAATAAACAAAAACAGAAATCTCTGGAAAAACTCAGCAAGTCTGGCAGTGTCTGTGAAGATTAAACAGAGTTATTATTTTGAGTCTTGTGACACATCTTCAGAACTGTTTGTTTCATATTTCCAGCATTGCAGTTCATCATTTTATCAGTTACTCGTCCATATTTTCCTGTTCATTTGCTGCTGGAGATAAAGTACTCAGTACATTTTCAGGCTCCCTGGCAGTTCCAGCAAGGAGCTGGGAGAGAGTAGACAATAACTTTGAAAATATGCCCCTATTTTGTTATTTTAAAAAATTCATTCATTCATTGGAAGTCGGTGTCACTGGTTAGGCTAATATATACTGACCAGCCCTAATTGCCCAGAGAGCAGTAACATGGCAACCACATTGCTGTGGGTCTGGAGTGACATGTAGGCCTGACCAAAATGGCAGTTTCTTCCCTAATGGACATTAATGAATCGGATGGGTTTTTCCCAACAATTGTCAATATTTTCATGGTCATCATTAGACTTTTAATTCCAGACTTTCATTGGATTTAAATTCCACCATTGTGGGATTTGAAGCTGGCTCCCCAGAACAACACTTGTGTTTCTGGATTAATAGTCCAGTGATGACACCACAAGACCATTACTTCCCCATATTTGGAATGCTGGCTATAGATTTGCTGCAGAGGCCTTTGGGTAGCTGTTTTCATGCAGTGATTACTGCTGCTGCAGGCTTTTCAGATGTTAGGCCCTGCCAGGGAGTGGGCTTCTAATTTGAACTCAGAAATATGTATGTGTCCAGATCATCAAAAGTGGAATACACAATAGGGGGTGTTGATGTTGCAACATTCTGGACCTTATCACTTGCCCCATCATATTCTGCAGGACAGTAGTGTGCATGGTCATCACACACACTGATACATATCCTCTTGACACTCAATTAGAATTCAGCAATGCACGTTCATTATATTTGGAACCGTCTAATTAACTTCCTTCTCCGGGATTTTTGTCCTATCAAATATCATCCAACTGATAGATGAAGACCCACAAGCTGGCTGAATGTGAAGTTATACATTAAAATGTATAAAATTCAAACAGGATTGGACAAACTAGATGCAGGGAGGAGGTTTCTCCTTGTTAGGGCATCTAGAACCAGGGCACACAGTCTCAGAACATTTAAGATGAGGAAAGATTTCTTCACTCAGAGGATCGTGAATCTGTGGAACTCTCTACCACAGAAGACCATGGAGGCCAAGTCACTGAATGTATTAAGGAAAGAAGTAGATACATTTCTAGGTTTCAATGATAGATTTTGGAAAAATGGCTTTGAGATGGAGGTTTAGTCGTGTTTCTTTTGAAATGGCAGAGCTGGCTCGATGTGCTGACTGGCCTGCTCCTGTACCAAATTTCTATATTTCTAAGAAACCATCCTTTTCAAGGCCAGGGAAAGAAATTACAGGCTCTAAAGCTACTTCTGACCTCGGCCTCCAGCCCCTAACCCATACACAACGGATTCCCTCCTGACCCAAGCACAGTGATTCTCTAGAGCCTCAAGCCTTGATCTATGCTACACCTCACTCAGTCACTCCACAAAGACCTGTTCATGCACCAACTGCATGCCTTCCGTTGCAGCATTGGGATGGCAGGACTGACATATGAGGCGAGACTGGATCGGTTCAGACTACATTTACTGGAGCTTAAAAAAATGAGGGGGATATCTCATAAAAACCTACAAGTTTAAAAGGAATAGACAGGGCAAGTGCAGGAAGGATGTTCCTAACGACCAGGGAGTCCAGAACCAGGAGTCATAGTCTAAGAATATGCCATTTACAGCAGAGGTGGTAAGAAATGTCTTCACCCAGAGAATGGGGAGCCTGTGGAATTATCTGTCATAGGAAATGGTTCAGGCCAGACATTGAAAGTTTTCAAAGGGATCAAAGGGAGAAAGGGGAGAAATCATTGTGAGTGCTGAGTTGGATGAACAGCCATGATCATTCGGAATGACAGGACAGGCTTGGAGGTCTGAATGGCCTATTCCTGTTCCTGCTTTCTATGTTTATATAACTGTTGTCATGTGATCTTACACCACTAATAATGTAAACTGTCAATGTACATATTTAACATTAACCTTTCACACTAGAATTTACATGATGAACTGTCCCTCAAGCAATGACCTAAATGACTGGATAGTCAATTATGATTCCGGTTGATTGATAGCCAAGGAAAATTCAATCGCCAGCAGATCTTTAAGTGGTGCTGAAGAACTTGTTACACTTTTGTGAGAGTGAAGACCCGTCTAGACATGATGAGTTAAGAGTCTCTTTCCAAGCTATACAAACCCTACGATTCTATGACGTATCAACCCAGGACAGCACCTCTGATAGTACAGCACTCCCTCAAGATTGAAGTACTTGCATTCCAGCCTCCACTATTCACTCAAATTCCTGGAATAGGATTTGAATACACAAGTTGCTGACTCAGAGGCAAAAATGCTGACATTAAATGACGGCTGAGACATGAAAAGTAACCCAGCTGATTTTCTAATTACAAAAGACTGTTTGTTTAATTGCAGCACCATTACGGTCACTCTATTGAGATCAACAAACCCAGCACATGCCACGATGAGGTAGTCTGTGTGGCTCAGAAACACAGCAGGCAGTGTTAGATTTTAGTCCTGAGGTGTGTGGAATAAATTGGGTTCATCTTGGAAGGACCTGTCTGATCCCTGTTTGTTTAAACTGAAGATGCTTAAATTAATTTGGATGCAAGCCTCCTACACAAAATCTCAGGTACAAATGAAGCTGGTTTAAAGAGGAACCATCTTCTTAAAAAAACTGTTTGGCGAGCCATTTGATTAGTGGCAAAACCATACATTATGTTCATCATATAATGACAGGCACTAATGACGTCATGTTTCATTTTGACTTAGTTTACATCATATCTGCAAAATCAAATTAAATGATGTTTGTCAAACAGAATTATTAAAATATTTTTTCTTTAATATAAATTTGGCTAGCAATCAACACATATGTAATTAAATGCATGTGTAATATACATCCTAATTTTCAGAGCAGGAGCTTGTATTGTTCAAAACATTTAAACATTTTTACTCTAGTTTTACCACAAAATCCCTAACTTCTTTCCCTTCATATCTCTGGAATATTTCATTGCCTTGCAGCAAAACTCCCATCTTCCAGATACAACTTCTAAGAAAATATCGAAATTATTTTCATTACTCATTCCACAGCACTTAGACTTTATTAGTTGGAGTCAAAAAAGACTTCTATGTGCTATGATCATAGTTTTTATTCACTCTTCAACATTTCTGTGGTCTTCATAGCTTTTTATTTGCCTATCCTTTACATCATGCGTCTGTTGCTGTCCATTTTACTGGTCCTACTTCTATCTCGTTTTACTCGTATTCCTTATAACGCGACAAGGTATCACAACAGTTTTCCTTTTACCACATTGTCACATCCAATGTGCTGCAAGGATCCTTCTGATTCTCATCTCCTTATCAATTCTATGCTATCCATTGACAACACCATCTGGAACTATGGGCTCAGAATCCACACATGATAAGACCTGGCCTTATCACTTTTGATTAGAATTAAAAAGCTTTCTGCTTCCAGAGATACATTAGGCAAACAAAGACATGCTTATGTTTGTTTTCCAAAGCTTGTTTTTCCTGAAATACATTGTGAGCCTGAAGCCAGAGGGTGCAGTTTGAGGGTTGTTAGGTCATAGCAAGCATGGCTCATCAGGAGTTTCTCTTGATTTTACCCCCTGTCACAGACATGTTGGAAAAAACTGCAAGTTGACAATTGACCTATGTGGTCATGTTACAAATGCACCTTCTGTGGCTGTCAAGTCCTGAAAAGGATTCAAGCCCAAAGCTTCATGCTCAGAAGCAGAGATGCTGCCCACTGGACCACAAGACCTCTGTTGTCTCTTTGGAATAATGGAGGAGGCAAAGTATATTTTACATCAAGGTCCAGATGAGCTAATAAGTTATTTCTGATTAACGTTGGCAAAAGCTAAAAAATATTATTTTGTTTTTAAATGAGAACATACATACTTAGCTCTTGCTTTCCTCAATTGTCCCAGCCTCAGTCTAAGTTAGGAGTTATGAGCTTGGTCTTACTGCATAACCAAGAGTTCAACTTTCTCTCTCACATGCAATCCCTTATACAAACTCAACATCTTTTTCTCAAACTCACTACAGTTTCAAGACCACTTATTTTGAATTTTACCATCTTGTCTGTCTTCATCTTTCACCTGGCCCTTTGTTAGTAGACTCAACTGATTTCCTGTTCCATTTTCCTGTAGCTAGCTATTCACAATTTAAAATTAATATAAACTGTTTCAAATTGTATTCCTACCAAACTATCATAAGGGTATATAATTTATAGTATTGTCATTTTCGTTTTTAAAATAGACGCAGTTGGATATCAGTTTCAATTCCATGAAGATAACTTATTTCTTAAAAAAGTTCAGAAAGTCATTTGTATCTTTGACCTAAATACATAATTTATAAACAAGCACGCGATTTAGCTAAGTGTCTCGGAGGATACTTGAACTCTTAATTAATGGAATGTTTATACTGCAGAGTTTACAACAGACAGAGAAAACAGATTCGGGGCCACATGAGTTTAATTTGATTTCAGTTCAGAAGAATGAGCCATCGCATCCAAGGCAACAGTTTCTTCCCAGCAGATGAATCACGTTTTCTGTTTAGGAGAATAGTTTCCATACAGCAGAAAGGATTTAGTTCGTGAAGTTTCCAAGTTGTGAGAGTTTGTGTCATAGCTGCCGATCTGTCAGAAATAAAAAAAAGAGGTTTAGAATTGGAAATTGACATTTAAGTAAGAAATTAAAATGTTGAGGTAAGAACGAAGTTTCTTTGGGATTGAGTATCTGCAAATGATATGCAGGAAAAAGTACATTGAAACTTTGCTTTGCTGTTTATGTTACAAGCTTTTGAAACTACCTTATATATAACATTGTTTATTTTCTTTTCTTTTGTGCATTAAACTTGTGTTCTTGCGTTACAGAACCTTGGCAGCCTCAATGACTAATCACCATGATAATTGAGTGTAAAAATCAAACTTATGATCTATAAGGGCATATTTCAATCTGAGATCTGACTTGTCCAGAATCAGGTTTGATCATAACAGTACCAAACACCACTTTCCTATTAATCCAATCTCTTCAACCTTTGTAGATTTTCCATGCCTCAAAGAGTTGGCTTTTGAGCAGCACTACTCTAACTTCATTTGTCTAACACAGGCCTTTCCCCCATGACCCACCTGAGCTTTCCAGTCCATAATTGATAAGTGACTGTTTGTTAAACCACTATACTGTTTGTAACTAGGCAATTTCATCGCTGCTTAAATGGGAGGCAAATAACTCTCAGCAGCAAATTAATATATTAGTGCTCATTTATAAAGATGAGATGAAGCTGTATTATTTCTTTAACAGTTTTACCCACATGATGTTGTATGCTAATACAAGTGCAGCTATTTTGGCTTGTGTGTGTGTCTGAATGCCCATTTAAAGGACTTCTTTTTCCTTATATCAGTGTGATGATGACATATCAGTTTTACATGTGCAGATACACATCTTGGTCTACAATAACTTTGTTTACAAATCTAAATTTGGAAATTTTGTTTTGACAGACTTGTCAATCCATTTACAGAAAGCAATGTGAATAAAGGCTAAAATGTATTCCAGACTGTTTAAACTGGCATTTGCTGGACGTGCCTCTGGGATAATGTTACTAAATCCTCTTGATATATGCATTAGTTGGTTTGTAGATTGTTAATTGATGTTCCTGACTACAACAGCATTCATCATTGTTGGATTGATTAAACACATTTTATGTTAATCATATGTCTAAATCCTGTCAATTGTATTTGTCGGTTATACTGCAATCATCGTTTTACTTCACGTGGATGTCTGAGCTTTTGAATTGACAACTTGCCTTGTCAGTAACACCGTTATTTTCTTTGTTGGCATTAAAATGTGTTTTAGGGCCTGCAAATTAACTGCTTCAAGTCCAAAGCTGTTTTGCAAATAAAGAATTCTTTTGAGTTGTGTTTAAGGTTGCTAATACTGGTAAACTTGGTCACGAAGCCAACTTCAAAGCAAAACATGGGAGTCTCATTCTTAGAACCATCTTTTGAATTTCTTTGTAATGTCGAAAGAGTACCCTCTTCTCCCAAAACCATTTAACAATCATTATTACAGCATGACAGACATCAGCTTTGATATATAAAAATTGGATCCTCTGAGCATGATTACAATCATCTGTCAATATGCCTCTAATCTGTGCCTCCAACGTGGCCACAATAACACTGCTCTTATGCAAGTGACAATGTGAGCAGTAAAGTGCAATACCTAACACAGACGCCAAAATTTCCAAAACACTTGAGACACGATGAAACTTTGTTCCTGCATCAGTTTTTAACCTTTAGTGCTCTGGATCTTCTCTGCACATAAACATTATATTTCCCAATGGGAATTCCTCCTTTGAATATTAGAAGGAGAAATATGATAAGGAAATGGAAGGGACTAGATCCAAAGTGAGAAATCAGAGAACATATTTGTTTTCAGCATAACACAGCGTTTACAGACTTAAGAAGTTTTGTATTTCTCTGACTGTCAGTGTTTCAGAAAGTCATGCTTCACCCTTGATACTACAAAGAATAAGATCTGCTGACTACTTAGTCTGAAGCATACCGTCACCTATAGTGGTTAGGTCCAGTCCTAGGTCAGCATGCCCTGTGACCAAGATAATGATCCGTGTGGCATCACCTACCATTCTAACAGTCCTTGCATTGATTGGATCGTTCTCCACTATTCAAACCAGCTCAAATTTGATACAATCATCAGACAAATATTCCCCTCCCCTTTCAGCATTCTGTAGGGACCAAACCCTCTTAACCCTAAGTAATCCACTTAACATCCCTTCCCTTCCCTGCAATATCTTTCTGTGCAAGGACAGGAGATGCACTATCTGTCTTTCCATCTCTTGCCTTCTAACCATCCAAGGTCCCAAACAAACCTTCCAAGTGAAAGAGTCATTTACCTGTCAAGGTACATGGGGCAGCACCTGTGGCTCAATGGTTAGCACTGCTGCCTCACAGCATCAGGGATCCGAGTTCAATTCCAGCCTTGGGTGACTGACTGTTTGGAGTTTGTATGTTCACCCCTTGTTTACATTGTTGGACTGTAGGAGGAAACCAATGTGCAAGTTAGGTGGATTAGCCATGCTAAATTGCCCTAGTGTCCAGGAATGTGCAGGCATGGTGAATTATCCATAGTAAATGCAAGGTTATGGAGATGGAGTGGGGCAATGGTCTTTGGAAGGTTTGTGCAGACTTGTTGGGCCAAATAGCCTCTATCTGCACTGTAGGGATTCTATTTATTTCAATTTAATGCACTCTATTTGTGCTCACAAGGTGGCCTCCTCCACAGACTGCAGGACCACTTTGAGGAATATTTCCATTTAATTCTCAAGCATGGTCCCAGGACTTTTGTTGTGTGTCATTTTAATTCTTGCCTTGCTCCCATGTTGGTATTTCTGACCATGCTCTGTATCAGTGTTTGAGTGAAGCTTAACTTAAACTCGAAGAACCACACCTCGTCTCTGGAGTTGACAACCTCCAACCTTCACAACTTAATATTTAAAATCAACAACTTTAGATCATGATCTCTGTTTCCTTCATACCTACGTGCTTTTCTTTTTTTTTTGGTTTGGCTGAGTCAGTTATGTCTGATTTCATTAGGGCCTTCTTGTAGTGCAGAGATAGTATCCCTATCGTTGGACCAGGAGGCCTATGCTCAAAGTCCCACTTGCTCCAAAAGGTATGTAATAAAATCTCTGAACAGACTATTCTAACCTATTTTTATAATCAAAGAAAAATTCTTACTTCTTAATTCCTTCATGTGGCATTCTGACAGTTTTCATGGAACTATTCACACCTCATTGGGGCAGAAGATTTGACATGTTGCTACATCAATCACCACTCTTTTAAGTCTTAAAATTTTTTGTTATTTGATCTTCCCTGGCCTCCACTCTATTGCAGACATTTTTCTTCTACCTGTACCCTTCTTTCTTGTACTGGCTTAAAAACTTTTACATTTCTATCTTTCTTCAGTTCTGATGAATGATATGTGAACCTTTTCTCTCCACATTGCCTGATCAACTGAATGTTTCCAGAATTTTTTGAGTTTATTTCAGATTTCCAACATCCACCACATTGTGCTTTTACATTGTCCAAGCACTAGATTGGTTTTATTCCCCAGTGGATCTGATCAGTTATATTAGCTATGGCAATTCAGGTACTTGAGCATATGAAACAAAAGCAAAGTATCACAGATGCTGGACATTTGAAATAAAAACAAAGTGCTAGAAAAATTCAGCAGGTCTGGCAACATCTGTGGAAGGATGTGGGGTTAATGCTTCTGGTCTGATATGGCTGTTCTTCAGAATTTCTGTTTCTCTCTTCGTATGCTGCCGGCAGCACTCCCTTTCTGACTGAGGCCTGTGCACAGCTGCAACTTTCAGAGCCAGAAGTCGATGTTTTGATATGCGTGTGATGCCAATTACCACGTATGGAACATTGGAACATTGTGCACGTGTACAGCCATGTAGCTTAGAGGAAACGTTAGCTGTAAGGCCTGCTTAGCTTTACCAGCATTTTCTGCTTTATTTCAGATTTCCAACATCCACAGTAGTTCACTTTTAGAGATTCACAGAACTAAAGTTTTGAGTCTCAAGTGTCTTTAAAACTCTTTCTCACAATTTCTGTTTCTCTCGCTACAGATGCTGCCAGACCCATTGAGTTTCACCAGCATTTCTTGCTCCTTTTCAACCAATCCCCTTTAAGTCACTCTCATGACCCTTTATAACATAATTAGTGCCAAGTCAAGCCACCTCATGCTTCCCACCCAACATCCTTTGCCCTTATGCCTACCCATACAAAATCATCTACTATACAGCAGTCCTCAGGACTCATGAAGAGATAAAAATATAATAAAGTTCTGTCTTTCTGACTTCAACAGATTGAAAAAAAAACTCTCATTCATAAAAACCAACAATTACTATGTGTACAAATTTTGTCAGTTTGTTTGACAATTCCTCTTGACAGGTCTTTCTGGCAGATGCTTCTCATAGTTTCAATCAAAATTAATGGTTAAAACAGTTAACAGAACTATCAGCTTGACAATAATGAAAATCTGAATCTTATGTGCATATTTATGACAAATTTATCAATTTCAAACAGCATCTGACCTACCCCAAAAGTTTCCCAAGATCTTACATTTCCAAAGATGTACCCTCATGATCCACATGAAGTTTCGTTTTTTCCAGAAGTGAAGAATAAGTTCAGAAGGTATACAGAAACATGAGTGTTAAATAATCTCAGACTTGAATTTACAATGTTCAATCTGCACAGTTCCAGTTTCACTCTTCAGAGTTACTAAAATCCCACTTCAATGGAGGCAGCTCGTGATGTAAATGGCAACTGCTTCCATGAACTGGGCATGGACAAAATTGCTTCAACACCATTCTCACCCCTTCAAAATGGGAAGTACTCTTTTCCAGGCTCACCTGCTATTTTCACTACGATAGAGAAGCTGTCAATCATGACTAAATTCCAGTCGTGACTGTTTGGTTCAGGGAGTCTCTCTAAAAGTTCAGACACCATGGGCAGGGACGAGATACAGCCCCCACCCCCACCCCCCCATCTTGATCCTTGGATTCATGGTGAGTTCCATGATGAGTAGCAAAAGCACTTGTTTAGAACAATGA